ACTTCTGGGTTGTGAATTGCACGAATCACAGGCATATTGACCACGAAACAGACAAAGCTTCAGCCCGGATCTGTCCCTTCCCTGTGGGGCAGAGAGCTGTAGGGCGGGGAGGTACGCTAGCTGGGGAGGGCGGAGGGAGGGGTGAGGGGTGGGCAGTCCCGATCAGGACACAGCGTGTGTAAGTGTGAAATCACAGAGGTAAGGGCCCCGAGTCTTCAGGGCACCAGAAACTTGCTGACATCTTTTCTCATTCTGCATCAATAGTCACGCTCCTGCCTGATTTTGTATTCATAGGTTTCTCTTTTTTTCTTAAAAATGGTCCCCAAAACTGTCTAAGCGCCAGGCCCCACTGAACCTGGGTCCTTCTTGGTCACAGGAGAAGTAAAACATTACGAAGGAGGATTTTTCCAAACTCATCACCTTCATGCCAAGAACAACTCTGGGGAATATTCTTTCTGAGACGAACGTCAAGGGAAAGAATATTGAAACGGACAGATGCACAGATTTCATCTGAAAGCCCAGCCCCAGGGAAATTCCATGATGCTTTTTACATTTTCTTTATGAGCGTGCTTTCGGACCCACCTTATGAGTTCCCATGACCTGGAGCATGGGGGCCCATCCTCCCTGAGCCCCTGAGTTACAGCTGCCCCCCCCCCCTCCTTGCCAGGCTTACTTGTAGAGACCCCAGAAGGACTGGGGCATGGGTTGTCCCCCTCCACGTGCTCTCAGCTCCCCACGTCCCAGGAAGAAGATCCAGGCCCCCACTTAGCAGGAGCAGCTGAGGTGCCCAGCTCCAGGCTCCATCCCCCCCCCCCCCCCCCCCGCCCGCATGCCGGGAGATGCCCCCTCCTGTGTCCCAAGGCCAGACCTGGCTGAACATTCAAAGCAGGGGTCCTCAAACTTTTTAAACGGGGCCAGTTCACTGTCCCTCAGACTGTTGGAGGGCCGGACTATAGTTTAAAAAAAAACTATGAACAAATTCCTATGCACACTGCACATATCTTATTTTGAAGTAAAAAAACAAAACGGGAACAAATACAATATTTGTATTTGCATGTGGCCCGCGGGCCATAGTTTGAGGACCCCTGATTCAAAGGATGGAAAACAGTGCTTCTCTCTAAAGCAGCGGTTCTCAACCTTCCTAATGCCGCGACCCTTAATACAGTTCCTCATGTTGTGGTGACCCCCAATTTCATTGTGCAAATTGAACATAATTGAAGCGTAGTGACTAATCACAAAAACAACATGTAATTATACATGTGTTTTCCGATGGTCTTAGGCGACCCTTGTGAAAGGGTCGCTTGACCCCCAAAGGGGTGGTGACCCACAGGTTGAGAACCGCTGCTCTAAAGCCTCGATCACTTGGTTCCTGCTTAGTTTGCACATGGAGAGACCGCAGACAAGCTACAGCAGCAACCAGGTTGCCTGGGTGATCCTGCACTTCGCAGACGTGCCAAGGCATGACAGTGGCGGTGTCTAATGCAGCCGCATGACACACACGCCATGCCCTTGCTTAGGGATGTTCCGGGGGTTTGCTCCGGCTTGCAAAGCGGCTGCTTCTGGTTACCCACTACAACTGGGTAAAACCTGTCCTCCACCTGGTCTCCAGTCTTCATAAACACTCACAATTATAATTAAAGACAGCAACCGTGCTTGGGGCCTACTCTGTGGTTGGATGTTACCACACTTAATTCCTACGACGCAGCGAGACAGCTGTCAGCATCCCCATTTCCCATAACAGGTAAACTGAGGCCACCTTTTTGAAGGCCATGCCCTGTCCTCAGTCTTCTCATCTGCAAATTGGGAATAAGAATAGGTATCTCATAGGGTGGTGTGGGCTCGCATAAAATGCTGTGTGTATGGCAATGGCACCGGCCTGATCCTCAAGGTCATGTTGCTGGTGAGAGGCAGGACCAGGCCTTTGTGACAATAAGCCTGTGTCCTTTCCTACCATCCCCCTCCTGGTGAGCTCTTGCTGAACTTCACGATGCTTAGTCATGTCTGCGTTCTGCTCGCCTTATTTCAGCAGGGGCGGGACTTTGCCACTGTCATCGCTGTCACCCGAAATAGACCTCGTGCTTTGCTTTTGTGCCGTTTATTCTTTATTTGGGAGAGTCGATAAGATGTTCGCGCTGCAGGTGACGCATTTGAGATGGCCCTTGTAGGAGTTCTGTAGGTGGAGACGGCTGTCATGTCACATGGACTGAAGACTTAGAAACATCCTAGGAACAATAGTAGGGTTACCTCGGAAATGAACATACCAACTAGGAAGTCTCATCTAGTCTGGAACTGAAGCAAGGGTTTAAACAGGCACTGAGTGACGATGATTATTGAGAAAGGCATCTATCACGTCAACTCATGTGGGTCTAGGAAGTGGTTTTGTTTATGAAAAAATTCCCTAATGTGGACATGGGGAACGAATTCCTGGGTCTTGATTGGAACCCAGGGGACAGATGAGATGGACGGGCTCCATCCTTCCACAACCCCCCCCCCCCCCCGTGTGTGGGCCGTGTAGAGCGGGAGGGGACACCGTCTCCCCAAACCAGTGCAGGTGGAAGACACAGCAGCAGTGGGAAGGATTCTATGATGCCCCCCTTTTCCCTCCCCCCTCTCCCGGTTGCTTTGGGAAGGGCAGGGAAGCACACCAGAGAGCCACGGCTGCCCAGCTACGTGAATGCTCGCAGAGCAACTTGTCCCCATCTGGAAGTGGCCCCCAATTCGCCGCATTTGGTTTTGGATGTGGTAGCCCAGCTGCTGTCGTAGCTGGAACCCCACAACTGTCAGCTCCACTTGAGGACGCTCCTGCCCTCCCGCCCCGCCTCCCCATTATGACTGCTGCCCTTTCTCCTGACTTTCTCTGCGGCTCTGGTCCAGGGTGACTGACGTAGCTCAGGACTTCGCAGTCTTCCCATCAGACTCCCCAGAGAGTTCAGCAGTCCCAGAGTCGTGGCCTCCCAGTAGCCTTGGGAACTAGAGCCTGGCCTGACGGTTTTTTCAAATAAAAATAAATGTTAATATAGTGTTGTTTTTAAATCTGGCAGGAGGCCTGCTGACCTAGTCAGCCACTTGCCCTTTCCCTGGCCTTTCATAAAGCCCTGGTCTGAAGCAGTTTAAGTGTCACTTTAAACAAGTATACCAGTTACCCCCACCGCCCCCCACCCCGAGCTGGAAGGCTGCAGACGCCTCACTCTCTTGGGAGAGAAATCTCAGCTTTGAAAATGCTCCGAGACCTGAGCAAAGAAGAGGTGTTGGCTCAAAAATGAAAACTCTGAAATCAAAATGAATGAATATAGAACCAAATGTTTACAAAACCACGACTCAATGTTGACTCACCTTTATGTTACTAGATACTTTATTCGGCACAGAATTCACGATAATAAAAGGAAACATGCAAAAATGTTAGCAAAAAAAAATTGATTTTGGGGTGGATTTTAATATGTTTGATATGAGGTGAAAGTCCACAAAAGTAGAAATGCCAAGAGGCTGCCAGGGGACCTGGAGCAGGTACTGAGAGAAAGCCGGGACCAAAAGCTACCAGGTGTCATTCACCATTGATGTGAATACCTTGTAAACGTGTGCATCTTCCTCAAGACAGCTGACTTCCACCCCAGACAGGAAACCCCACAAAGGACAGTCATGCGGTTACTTTATTCACATGGGGGTGGGAGATGAGATGATTGTCAGCTCAGTTGTATGTTGGACCTGAACTCAGTGACCCAAGTTGGTACTCAGCACTCCCCCAACGCTTCCACTAGGGGGCAGTGCAGAATCAAAACGCCCTCTGCTCCCGAGGGTCTGGATTCTCTGAGATACAGTCTGGGGTGACCAAGTGAAATTTTCTTTGAGAATTGGGGTTTTATCTTAAAAATGATTGTGGATATTGCTTTCTCCTGCATAACACGTCTACATTTAATATAGAGGTAATTTGGAAAACTTTTCACCAATAAGAAAATTGAACACTCTAAGAATATCGGCCCTGTTTGATTTGCCAGTCGCTCCATCACGGACCTGGGGGTGTGGCATCAGAGTTGGAACACCCCAACCCTGACCCGTAATCAGCTTGGCCCAGCCAGGTGACATCCTGCTAATGTGCCTTCTTCCCGGCCAGAAGGCTTCCATCTTTTACTCAACCATTGATTGACTCAGCTTCCTCTCTAACCCCCAGATACGCCGGTCCTTGCCTGCCTGCCGGTCCTTGCCTGCCTCCCTAGTGCTCCGATGGTCCCTAATCCAAGAGCACCTCCACAGCTCCTCTTCCATCCTAACGCCACCACCCACTGAATCCCGCCGAAGTCCGCCTCCTTCCACCGTCATCTTCCTCTGACTGCTTGCCACGCAATCCTCTTTCCTTCCTCAAAACTGTGAAGGCGTGTTCGTCCAAACGACTGCCTTATATGCTGCTCTGATCATGTCCTAGACATACAACTTGTCCCCCAAACTAGACTCCACGCCTCTCAATGGCAGTGGCCTTTTCACTTTGTTCTTTTTATCCTGGCAGGACAAACAGTAAATGGACCATTCATTCTTCTTTTCCTATGCGACGTAGTAATTAATCTAACTCAGCTTCCGGCTCTAGGTGAGGCCCCTCACCCTCTGGTCTTTTCATTCCCACCAGCTAACTTCTCTCCCTGACTCCTTAGGTCAGAAAATATTGGGAACTATTTTACAGACTTGTTAATGGGAACGTGCACGGAGAGGCTCAGGACTGCTTCCTGAGATCCCAGGTTCTCCGAGGTCCCTAATTTCACTTTTAACCACCTGCCCGTTTCCTTCACAAGCTTCGTCAGTTTGTGTTAGGTGTTTGTGTGTTATGCATGGTATTGTGTGACTTGCTTGCCTGCTTTGCTCACTAGACTGTAAGCTGAGGGCAAGGAAGGACCATGTGGCTGACCCCCCCGCCCTCCCATGGTAGGTGCTTAATGCTCCTGTTGAATATTTCAGCGGGTCTTTGCATTCTTGCGTCTCCTATTTAAATAAAACCAACTCTCCTGCTCTTTCAGACGACACAAGATATACAGAGAGCAGCTGAACCTCACTTCCCTGGACCCCCCAGTGCAGCTCCAACTCGAGGCCAGCTGGCTCCAGTTCCACCTGGGAATCAGCCGCCACGGGCTGTACCCCCGGTCCAGTCCTGTCGTCAGCAAACTGCTCCGCGACATGAGGCACTTTCCCACCATCAGTGCTGGTGAGGCCCAGGATCAGGCAGGGACTGAGTGTCCCCCAGAGGCTGGTAAACCAGCCAGGCTCTGGGGTGGAAAGCAAAGGGTTGTCTCTGACTCCTGATGGGCAGAAAACAACACACACACACACACACACACACACACACACACACTCCTCACAACCCACAGGGGAGGCATGAGGAGGTGTTCCATCCACTTTAAGAAACGTGATGGCTCCCCTTTAGAGAGTGCTCCCTTTCCTCCCGGCAACCCTCTCTTATCAGGGACCTTATGGCGTGGACCCCTGCCATTTTGCTGATGGGAGAACTGAGACTCAGAGAGGATGCACAACTCGGCCAGGGACCAGGGCTGGAGCGGGTGTTCCGACAGGCCTGCTGTCTTAGGTCTGTGCGGCCAGGCACGACGTGTCTACGTGACAGAGCGGGTGGTTAGCAGAGACAAAACCAGCACCGGTTTCCCAGACAGACGCTAGGCCTGCCGATGGAAGGGCCAGCGAGCACGGGGCTGGGTGGGGCTCCGGGCGATGCCCCTGGCTGCCTCGGCGTCCTCTTTAGTGAGTCCAGAGCCCCGTGTTGTTGGCGCCCCTACACGTGGCTGAACGCTCTTCCCGCCCTTTTCCTCCACAGATTACAGTCAGGACGAGAAAGCCTTGCTTGGGGCGTGTGACTGCACCCAGAGTAAGTGAGCTGGCCCTGCCGCCCTCCACGTCACAGCCGTCACAGCTGTGTGAACCCTGGGACCCCTCTGTGGGGTCCTGGTTGGGACTTGAAGGGGCGGGACTCTGCCTAGGCCCTGAGAAGCCAGCATTTCTCCCCGCCCACCCACATGACGGAAAACCCTTTAAGAGGGGCTGGTGTGTAGGTCCCTGCTGGTCAGTGCGTGATCCGGGGACCAGCTTCATCGGGATTGGAGTGCCTTTCAGATTTAAGAGGCAATTGTGCAGGACAGTGGTCTCAACCCCAGGAACTTATTAGAGTCCCCTGGGAGCTCCACACAGGCAGAGGCCCAGGCATCAGCATTTTAAAACCGTTCCTAGTGATTCTAATGCAGCCGAGGCTGAGCCCCCTCACGGGTGAATGCGATCAGAGAGGCGTGAGGTGCAGCACAGGCCCCTCCCAGGGGTCATGAGTTGGGTATAGATGTACCTGGACCCTGCACAGCCCTCAGAGTGGCAGGCCAGGCCTGGACACGGAAGCCCCAGAGCAGTCACCGGCCAGGAGCAGCCTCATCCATTTACCTTAATATACTGAACACACATCAGACATTTCCATGTGTGTCGTGGCGTGTTAAAGGTTTGAAAGAGGTTTGTGGGGCCCAGGACTTCCCTTTTCTTTCACACCTGCCATTTGCCATATTATAGAGCATAGACAGCGTCCAGACCCTACCACGGCTCACAGCAGGGTGGGGACAGGGTGGGGTGAGGGCTGTGCCCAGGACTGGACACATGAGGAGGGAGCTCTCACTGGCAGGGTCCTGTGAGTGCATCTTAGGTGCCTTGCTCACCCAGCCCTGTCTCAGCCCTGTTTGGTCTTGACGTGGAAGATACGTAGATAGACTAGTCCACTAATGCAGGTTAGCAGATGGCATCATCAGAATCTAAAAGGTGCCAATGGAGCAGAACCAGTGGCAGTTCTTAAGGAAACGTTCTTTGGGGTTTGCTGTGTCTGTTGGGGAAACCTATATTGTTTGCCCTTTTCCCATAACAACAGAGAAGGTATTGTCTTGAGCTGCTGGCACCCTCTCCATGGCCTGATGCGATGGAATGTACCCTGCAGGCTTTACAAAGCAAATTCTGGTCCTTAGAGAAGAAATCAGTTGGGTTTACTGAATGAACAAAGGTCCCAGCCCTGAGCTTCGTCCCAGAAGCATGGTTAACTCACCCTTGTCCCCTCACAGTTGTGAAGCCCAGTGGGGTCCACCTCAAGCTGGTTCTGAGGTTCTCGGACTTCGGGAAGGCCATGTTCAAACCCATGAGGTAAGTGGTGCCTTCCTCGCCTCCATACCCAGCCTTGGCAGCTCTGCGGGGTGTTGACCCAAAATTAGTAAAAGTGGCCTAAGGTCTTCAAGCCAGTCATCTGTAGACTGTCCTTTGGGCAATCTGCCCACGCACTGAACTGATTTTGGTGATACTTTAAAAAAGAGGTAGACCTTATCAGGTCATTGCTAGCATCTGTGCTACACACATTGCATGATTGTCTTTGGGTCATCAATAACCTTATGAGCCAAGAACTGTTCAAGTGCCCACTTTACAGATGACAACACTGAGGCCTGGAGAAGCCAGCTTGCCCCAACCTCCCAGCTGCAGACAGTGGAGCCGGGATTCAAACCCGGGCAGCTGGACTGTTAACACTCTACCACTGTCACTCACACCCACTTGTTTCCAGGGCTAGGACTCTCAAAAACGGTTATAGAACTCCACACAATACTTGTTTTGACTGAAAAACTAGGCCATGAAAAAGGCTACTGTGAAGTCAGTATATTCTTAAATCAATTTCACTTCATTTACAAGGCAAATACCTGCCTTTAAGATTTTGCAGAATGTGGGCGAGATACGTATCCAGTCTAGAGCTTGGTGTACCTATAGATTCCTGACCCCCGGGGTCTGCAGCCCACAGGCTGGGACTCCTGAAGTTTATGTCCCCCCTGGAGGTGACATGTACAGGAGACAGTGGCCCCAGGAGGGAACCCAATAGAGGGATTTAGGTTCCAAATGCCCAGTCAATTGAGAGGCCCATGGAGTGAATGGCTCAGATGAGCCTGGGGCAGGGCCTCGTGGAAGGAGCACTGACTACAGAATCTTAGTTCTAGTCCCTGCACTGCTTTGACAAAAGCACCCTTGAAGGAGGGGTTTGCAATAGACCGGCTCCTGGGAATCTCTTGGGGAGCCTTGAAACAACATCCTGGTGCCCGAGTCCAATGGGATGGTTCCGGAGCTCCCCGGGGACCCCAAGGCCCAGAGAACCTGAGAACAGCGCTAAGGCAATCCCTGTGCAAAAGGCCTTTTTCCATTCCCTGTGGTCATGCTTATCAGCTGTCTCCTCTGGCTCCCCGCGTCCAGGGCATGATTCCTCCCTTCTTTTCAGACAGCAGCGAGAGGAAGAGACGCCCGCCGACTTCTTCTACTTCATTGACTTCCAGAGACACAATGCCGAGATTGCAGCTTTCCACCTGGACAGGTAGGGTCCGGCCCTGCGGAGCTGGCACTGATGGCAGGGGCCAAGCTCAAGAGGGGGGGCTGGGCAGACACGCAGGGGGGACCTCCCTGGAATGTCTTCCTTCCATGATGCCTTTGGACCCAGCACGTCCCACCCAGCCCCTGGGTTGAAAAACACAAAGATGGTACAGATAACAGAAATAACTACTTAGAAAACTAACCCTGCCAGGCGGGTCATGCTGCCATCTTGGGCATGACGTTGCCCTTTGCTCTAGTTTCCAGATCTGAAAATGAAAATACACCACCCCCATTTACCCAGGCAGCCTGAGGTAGTGATTTTAAGAGGTGAAAACAAGTTCCTGAACTACCGGCTCCTATTTGCCCAGTCCCTGTGACTCACGCACAGTGTGGTCTGCGCCCTGGCAAGCCAGTTACCGCCCGGGGAGCTTTTCAGAAATTCAGAATCTCAGCCTGGACCACTGAATCAGAGCCTGCACAGGGACAAGGTCCCAGGCGACTCATACATACGTGGACATATGAGCTCTGACCTAGAACACAACTTGGATCGGGGAGGGTTAGCCCAGGAGACTTGATGGAATGAGGGTCCCTCTTCCGCCCTTTCTCCCACACCTTCTGAAGTGGGGTTGCCCTGGGCACCGTCAGCTCAGCACTGCAGAGACCTCGTGGGTGGGTGTGGTTGGGAATGCCAGTCCACTTCTAACAGGCGACCATCTGACTCCCCAACCATCGCTCCAATCTGAACAGGGCTCCCTCCCCTCTTTCAGGATCCTGGACTTCCGACGGGTGCCACCAACAGTGGGGAGGCTAGTCAATGTCACCAAGGAAATCCTAGAGGTCACCAAGAATGAAATCCTGCAGAGCGTTTTCTTTGTCTCTCCAGGTAGAGTCCTGGCAAAGCCATCTTCTAAGGACACGGTAGGCCAGCGTGGCCACCAGTACGTTCAGCAGTGGCCTGTCCAGCCAGTAGCCATGGCCATTACTGGGATGGGTGTATGCCGCCATCCCACACTCCCACCTTGGTCTGCCCGAGCTTCACAAAAGGAACTGGGGGTGGGAAAGTCATACCTGAGATGCTAGCTAGCCTGGGCGGGCACCCAACTACAGTGGGCCTCCCTGGAATCAGGAGTTATCCAGACAAGGAACACCCTACTCCTGTGGACAGGATGCAGTTTACTAGCATCCACCATCTGGAAAAGGCAGTATTTCCTCCTGCCGCCTTTCCCCCAGCTGTGAGTTCAGGGGTTCCCTTTCCTTCCAGGGGTCTCTGGGGACAGGAAGATGGTCTGCCTCCCTAACACTTCCCTTACTCCTCCTCTCTCCCATCCTCCAGCCAGTAACATGTGCTTCTTCGCCAAGTGTCCATACATGTGCAAGACCGAGTACGCCGTCTGTGGCAACCCCCACCTGCTAGAGGGCTCTCTCTCCGCGTTCCTGCCGTCCCTCAACCTGGCCCCCAGGCTGTCTGTGCCCAATCCCTGGATCCGCTCCTACTCGCTGGCCGGAAAAGAGGAGTGAGTTGGGCCCCTGGCCGTGCACATTAGCCCTTGAGAGTGACCACAATCCCACAGGAAGGACTTACAGCTAGCCTGGCTTTTGGACCCCTAAAGGCTACCTCAGCCTTCGTCTCACCTTATAGATCCTGGGACCAGCTGGCCGGAGTCCATTCTCTCCCCTTAGTTCATTTATTCAGTTATAAAGAGACTACCGTCTACCCAACTTTAGGCGCTAGGGGATACGGGAATGAAAGACACAGGCTCCCCCTCAAGAAGCTCCGCTGTCTAGCTGGGAGGTTATAGAAATAGCCAGATTCTGAAAACACAGTGCAACACCCGCTGTACACAGAGAAGCACACGAGGAGCCCGCATGAGACACGCCTGCTCTGCCCGTGAAGCCAAGGACCCATCGTGTATCCCTGGGGCTAGCACATGCCCTAGCACATAGTAGGCACTCAGTTCATATGAGCGGACTGAGTGAACAGGGGCTGAGGAATGTCTGAGAGGAGCTGCAGAAGCAGCAGGGAGGGACGCGGAGCCAGGCATTCCCCTGCTGCCCACCATCTCCCCCTGGCACGCGGTGCCCTAGCCATCAGTACGGCGTGCAGCACAGCACATACTCAGACATGCCCTGAAAGGACCCAGAACCTTCTCACCACATGGAATCTGCGCCTCCCATGTCTTTGCTTAGCGCCCGCCTGAATGTACCCAGCTACCAAGTGTGCATACAGGATTAGGGAGGCAGGGGTTTGAGGGGTGGGGAGGTGTGAGGAGGGCCCCCAACACCTTGCCATCTTGGCTTTTCCAGCCCCAGGACTGGTTCTCCCCCTCAGGTGGGAGGTCAATCCTCTGTACTGCGACACAGTGAAGCAGATTTACCCGTACAACAGCAGCGACCGGTTGCTCAACGTTATCGACATGGCCATCTTCGACTTCCTGATCGGTAGGTACCCCGCCCCCAGGGCTCCTAGCACAGGGTTCTGCTGCTGGTTCGGGATTGTCCCCGACACTGGGCACGAGTTACAGCCTGGACCACGAAGCCTGAATAACCCTACACCGCTCAGGGCCTCAGAAGTTAGAATGTTCCCCTCCTCAAAGGGGGTGCCACTTTCTGCAGGGGTATCAGCCTACAAGCCAGGCCCAAGCGGGCCTCAGGTTTGAAGTCACTGACCCCTTTGACCAAGGGAGGCGAAACCAGGGAGGAAAGGAGAGTGCACACTGAACAGGTAGCAGGGGGAAGGCCTCGGTCTCCCACCTGGAATGGTTAGGAAGAGTTGTTATGAAGGCGGCCAGTACACACACACACACAGACCTGAAGGCCTACAGAACCTGCCCGGCTCACACACACCCTTGGGGAAGTCAGCCTGTGTCTGCTTTCCCAATGGGCCTCCGTTGAGGAGCTCAGGTGAGGAAGGAAAGCCAACATGGGTGCAGAGTATTCGAGTCCCAGGCGCAAGGGCTTGAAGAAAAACAGTGAAAGCCTTAGATTTGCAAAGTGCACACTAGGGTGTGTTGGCTTTAGTTTCCTTCTCCCTCGGCAACGTCCCTAATCACTGGGGGGAAATGACAGCTGTGGCCCTGGGTTCAGGTTCTTGTCTGAACTGCCCTCCGACTCCTCAGCCTATGGTCCCTTGCTCCAATGCCTCCCTCCTTTACAGGAAATATGGACCGTCACCATTATGAGATGTTCACCAAATTTGGGGATGATGGGTTCCTTATTCACCTGGACAATGCCAGAGGGTAAGTGTCACCCATTCCTCCCGCCCAGCTGCAGCCCTTGCAGCTGCTGAGGGGCTCTATGGTCGCCTTGCTTCTCCTCTACCCTGAGAGCGCTAGCGAAACAGATGGGAGCTTTGCATCGGGTTTTACTTGAGGGCTCACTCCCGGAGGCAGAGCACGTGGCTCATGCTCGGTGTCTGGCCCTCAGTAGTTGGTGAATAGATGAATGACTGCTTAGGTTTAACATTTTTGGACATCTGGACAAAGGCTTTTGTGAGCTGATTGAGGACAGGGGCGGGAGGGGCAGCTGCCATGAGCCCTGACACTTTACCCTAAGCTGTGCTTTCAAAAGAAAGGCTGAGGCAGAGAAGAGAGAAAAAACAGTGAGGAGGGAGGTCTGCTTGCCACTCACGAAATGCTGGTTCTCCTCCTAGGTTTGGGCGACACTCCCATGACGAAATCTCCATCCTCTCGCCTCTCTCCCAGTGCTGCAGGTGAGCTTTCAGTTCAAGGGCACCATTGCGGCACTTTATCCTGCTCGCAACCGCGTTCTGAGGCTCTTTCTGTTTCCATTGGTCTGGACGTGGGTGGGTGGAATGACAGGAATTACCAATATCTCCAAAGCTTTCATCTTTCAGCATGGAATGAATTAGGACCTTTTTTTTTTTTTTAAACCTTTCACTCACTAACTTTAATATTCAGCCCACTTTGGCAGAGCCTGTCTTTGATATGAGTAATCAGACCTCTGCTTCGCCTAGCACTCATAGGAGCTCATAAATATTGCTACTTGACCACCATCTGAGTAAAACGCTGTCGGATGGAAAGGAAGCATGGCCTTCGCCTGGCCACCGTTTCTCTGGAGCATCTCCAACTACTTCTGGTCCTGGTCTCAGTAGGCTTGTGAAGTGTCCAGCCACTCAGCTGCAGTTAGAGCTCATTAGAACGATAGGACTCCCACATAGCAAAACCATCTCATTCCTTTCCAGCTGAAAAATGCAGAAGGAAGCCGGAATTTTCTTTATAGGTTTAGATGTGCTCCCCTCCCTGCCTCCCTTCCTGAATAGGGCAAGCAGTTTATGACAAAAGTTGGACAATTAGGCTGCATCTGAGTCCAAGTCAGATTTCCACATGAAAAGAAATCAGAATTCTAAAGTCAAGGTCAGTTCCACCTACCCCATTTTCACCCCTCGGATTCAAGAATCTCACACCAAGAAGTAAAGCTGCCAAGAAACAACTTGGAGGCCAAGTAAAGTTGCCAAGAAACAACCTAGAGCTCCTGAGATGCCCAACTTCACCATTTCACGACTAGAAACCTCTCGCAGCTTTAAATCGCTTCTGATTCTCTTAGCAACGTCAGATGTGTAAGGTCCAGCATCGCATTACAATTATCCTCCTATCTAATAAAAGAGAAACATGGTAATTGGCGTACGACCGCTACCCTTCCCATTGGCTAATCAGGGCAATATCCAAATTAACTGTCAGCCAAGATGGCCACTGGCAGCCAGGCAGCTTGAAACTAACATGAGACTTGCTTACTTCAGTGACGGAGGACTCCAACGTTCCCCGCCTGCGCCTGCCGTTGCAGGCCTCTGAGCTGCAAGCAACTATGTAACAAACATAGAAGCTAAACAAAACCCCAGAAACCTGCCAGGCTTCAGCCAGCAGGATCGCAACATTGTAAGCAAAGGCCAGAAACCTACTTTCAGCAGTGGAGGCCTAGGAGCTGGAGCCAAGCCTCAAAGCTAAAGCTGGCCCAGAATAAAAAAAAAAAGGAGCGGTTAGGAGCTTCAGTCACCCCCAGCCTGAAAACAGCCCTCAGCCCCTCACCCAGACTGGCCAGGCACCCCAGCGGGGACCCCCACCCTGAAGGGTGTGACCAGCTGCAAACAGCCATCATCCCCTCACCCAGCCTGGCCAGGCACCCCCCAGTGGGGACCCCGACCCTGAAGGATGTGTGACCAGCTGCAAAGAGCCATCATCCCCTCACCCAGGCTGGCCAGGCACTCCAGTGGGGACCCCCACCCTGATCCAGGACACCCTTCAGGGCAAACCAGCCAGCACCCACCCGTGCACCAGGCCTCTACCCTATATAGTAAAAGGGTAATATGCCTCCAAGCACCGGGATCAGCGGAGCCGCGAGGCCTCCCGACACCGGGATCATCGTGACAGGGGGCAGCGCCCAAACCCCCTGATCGCCCTGTGGCTCTGTGTGTGACAGGGTGCGGCGCCCCAACCCCCCCTCCCCCCCACCACGGGCCCTGCTCTGTGTGTGACAGGGTGGAGCCATAACTTCCCCATTGGCCCTGCCCTGAGTGTGAGAGTGGCGGCACCCCAACCCCCTGATCCACCCTGCTCTGTGCGTGACGGGGCAGTGCCCCAACCCCGATTGGCCCTGCTCTGTGCGTGACGGGGTGGCGCCACAACCTCCCCATCGACCCTGCCTTGAGCGTGATAGGGGATGGTGCTCCAACCCCCCAATCGGCCCTACCCTGAGTGTGACTGAGCGTGGCATCACAACCTCCCGATCGCCCTGCTCTGTGCATGACTGGGGGCGGCGCCCCAACTCCCCAATCAGCCCTGCTCTGAGCCCGACCAGGGGCTGCACCTAGGGATTGGGCCTGCCCTCTGCCACCCGGGAGCAGGCCTAAGCCAGCAGGTCGTATCTCCCGAGGGGTCCCAGACTACAAGAGGGCACAGGCCTGGCTGAGCAACCCCCCCGCCCCCCGCGTGCACAAATTTTTGTGCACCGGGCTTCTAGTTATAGTATAAACAGCTCAGCAGGCCTTTGACCAAAAGGCAATTGGAAAGGGCTGCAAAATACTGGGTCATCTTTTATTCACTCCCTTTTTACCTGATTTTCACTTAAATGTGCTTAAGATATCGGGGGAGAGGCTCACAACAACAACAGTTTTTTTGTGGGGAAAGTCAGTTCAGGATGAGTTCTTCTCTTTACACTTATGTTTCCTATGACTGTGTCCTTCCAGGATAAAAAAGAAAACACTCTTGCACCTGCAGCTGCTGGCCCAAGCTGACTACAGGCTCAGTGACGTGATGCGGGAGTCACTGCTGGAGGACCAGCTCAGCCCCATCCTCACAGAGCCCCACCTCCTCGCCCTGGACCGGAGGCTCCAGGTCATCCTAAGGACCGTGGAGGGGTGCATAGTGGCCCACGGAGAGCAGAGTGTCGTAGCCAGTGGCCCAGCAGAACAGGCAGCCCCAGACTCTGGCCAGGCTAACCTGACAAGGTAGGGGCTGGACGAGCCCAACTGCAGAAACGACACCTGCAGCCACGGTGGACTCGAGTGTGGACCTCTGCGTCCTCACGTGCCCTGGCCCAAGCTGGAGGCCCTGGGTTGTGAGCTCAGGGAGCAGGTAGGGCATTGGGACGGTCCTCAAAGAGCCAAAGTGGGACCCTGGCCTGCCTTCCTGGTGCACCGTTTCTCGAGTGGACTGACTGCCCTGGCTCCGCAGACCACCTCCTGAGCCCACTGGGAAATCTGGATGAATCCAAGGTCAGACTTGAAGGGTATGGAAGCATTAATCCCAGAAGAGAGTATTGTGACAAATAAAATAAAAGGACATCAAGTGGACACCTAACTGACCTCCAGATCCTTATTGTATCTACGAGGGTAACTCCTAATCCAGACAAAACATCTGACTTATCACAAGCAAACAAAAATATCTAAAACTAACTCTCACATAGGTTCCAAGTAGACCTCACACTTTCTCCTTATAGTCCATCACTGTGGCTCAACCCGAGGACGAGAATCACTACTGACCGGTCCTCTGAAGTAATTTCTATGAAATGGCATTACAAGAGGTAAAAATAACAGGGATTTGCTCAGAATACCAGGAAAGGGATGTTTCAATCTAAGACTACCAAGTATGACAAACTAGCATCCAACACAGGAGGGATTTTAGTGAAGGGACACGGGTGGTCTTGAAGGCGGGACAGCATAGGAGTGGGCCCAGCCGGTTCACAAGCTGGACTGAGGCTGGAGAAAGCCAGGGCCTAGCACAGCTCACCAACCAGTCTTTCCCAAGATCCAGAAGCTGTCCCCCGCCTGCCCCCGAGAGCAGCAGGGGCCACTGGAGAGCTCTGGCATGCTAGATGCCCTTCTCAGCTACTTTCTCATAAAGGAGTCAATCTGAAGTTTATTTCCCAGACCTCCCTCAAAAGTGGGTATTTTGAGGATTCCCTGTCTCTTCTACCTTCTCCCTCCTGACTTGCTGACGCCTGAAACACCTGTGTTAAGAGGCTGTTTCTTAGTCCATAATTCATGACTGAAAACACAAATGAGAGGAAAGTATTCATACTATAGAGTAGCCAGTTAGTCAACAAGTAAAAACTCCTGGTTCTATCAGGTCAACTCACAGATAAACATCGGAAGAGCTCAAATACAGCACAAGTGTGTGTGTGGGGGGGTGTGGGTAGAAAAAAGTTACTAAAGGTACAAGGTCAAGACTAAAAAAGTCATCCAAGACTTCTGCAATGTGTCCAGACAGCCCCAATAAGGCACATGGCAAGGAATTTCTGCCCCACCCTGCTGCCCCACAGCACACTGCCCCTGAACCTGGTCTCCATCACTCCCATTCGCTGAGCTCTTACCATGTGAGAATGAACACAGTTTCCAATCCTCCCGAACATAGACAGAAGCCCCTGCTTCCAATGCACAGCAAAGAAAAATTATGCTGAGATTAACAAAAATCACACAACTCCAAGATTTAAGTCTCAATTTCCAAAGTGCTCTTTCCACTGTAATACAGAAGCTCAAGAATCTCGCCCAGTTTATGAAGCTGCATTTCTTTACTTAAAAACAACTCTTTATTAGAGGAACCTTAACTTAAAGCAGAGACTTCCATAGCCCAGGGATTCCCACTTCATGAACTGTTTGCCTACTTCAGGCCGATAATTCCCTTTGGAGGAGGGACTGGGTAATTAACTCAGAAGGGAGAGAAATGTTCAGGCAAAGACCTTGCAAGAGCAGCACAGTGGCCTGGAATTCCAAATGGCAGCGCCTCAGAAGGTAAGCTGCAGCTCCACCTCAGCCTTTCCAGGACGATGCATGGGTCCCAGTGGCCTATAGCACAAACTCAGGTGTACTTTACAGAGAGAACGGAATCTGACCACAATGTGTAGAATACCCAGACCCCTAACTATCCCCTTATCTTAAACATTCCATTATGTTTGTACTAATAACAAAACCAAGACTCTACCGTTTGTCAAAAACAATAGAAAACAAGACTCTTTTCTTAGAACTTTCAAGTTCCTGTAACATATTCATTTTGGACCATTGTTCAGCTTCCCGTGACACAAAATCCCCCCATCTCTAGGTAAAAAGTTCTTCTCATTACTGCTGACAGCAAACTAAAACGTGAAAGGGAATTCTACAGCACGCGACTTGTCAGAGAAAAGGCGTTTAGAGGACATTTGAGTTTGAAGATTGTAAAAAGTACAGCTGATTCTCTTATTCAGGACAGTTTAATGGTCTACAGAGTCACCACAGGCACTAAATTAATGGACACTGAACCGTTTGCTCCTAGAGGAAATGAGGGTTTAGGTTCCCGTGAGTCTCTGGTTATTCTGTCAATCAATCAATACATAATGCTGCTTTGCGTGTTAAGTGTGTTAAAGAAACCTTTATAGTACTGTTGATTCATTAACACTGAACTTGTGGCCAACAGCACTGTATGTAACTCATGCCTAAAAGAAGCTTACTTAATATACTTATTTTATTCATAAGGCACACCACACATCCTTGCACTTAGGAATGCTGGCTAGCACTACATTCGGGGGCCATTTTAAACAGTGAAATCACCAATAGAAAGCACAAAAATGCAAAAAAAGTGGCACTAAATACCGTAGAGCATGAAAAAGACATCTGATAATAGTATGATGGCAAATGAAAAGCAGAGAGTCGCCTTGTTCCACCTGGGTGCACGCAGGGAGACTCGCTCTTCACCGCGTGTGCCTGGAAATAACTGAAGGGCTGCAAGTATTGATCTGGGGGTTACAAATAAATTTTAGCAAGTAGGCAAATACACAAAATTCACAAGCACAGTATCTGTGAATGAGAATCAACTGTAACTCACTTTGAGATTAACAAAGATGCCAAAAAAGCTCTCCATCTAGTGGTGACTTTTAAAATCACAAAACTATCAAGCTAAATTGGCAGGACTTTCACAAAATGAAGACTCATATTCAATAGCGGTTGTGGTACAGTGGCAACAGAACAGAGTTGAGTCACAGCTCTGAACTTATGTCGGTAAGCACATTCGAACTCCACAGGTACACAACAATACTGATTTCCATGTAAAATTTCCATAGAGTAAGAAGAGATTTATGATGCCCCCCTTTTAAATTCTCCTATTTACAGCCTTTACTGATAACTATTATGATAGCTACCTTGGGGGACATATTAAATGGTGACCTAGCCGTTGCTTCTCAAGGTTGTTTTACAAAAAGGGATTAGCTATTAATTTGTCGCTGGAGATGCAGCAGTATTAAGAAAACCGACATCATGCTACTTCAATTTTAAAATGTTGGTATTTGAGTCATTAAAAAGAAACCAATTCTATATCAGCCAATGTTTTAGAGGAGAATTAAACTATAACCAGTACAGCCAACCTAGAAACATTAAAAAATATATATACCTATACCCCCCCCCTCTATATATATATGTTTTAAGCCCAGCCAGTGTGGTTCAGTGGTTGAGCATTGACCTATGAGCCAGGAGGTTGAGGTTCGATTCCCAGTCAAGGCACATGCCCCGGTTGTGGGCTCGATCCCCAGTGTGGGGCCTACAGCAGGCAGCTGATCAGTGATTTTCTCATTACTGATGTTTCTGTCTCTCTTTCCCTCTCTCTTCCTCTATGAAATCAATAAAAATATATTTAAAGGTTTGTTCTTACTGATTTTAGAGAGGGAGAGAGAGAAACATCAAAGTGCGAGAGAAATATTGATCAGCTGCCTCCTGCACTCCCTTCACGGAGACAGAACCCCAGCATGTGCCCAGATAGGAAATCAAACCAGACCTTTTGGCATATGGGAGGACACTCAACTGAGCCACACTGGCCAGGGCAACCTAAGGAACATGTTTAGCTGTACTCTGTTGTAACTCTAAAGGTTCCACTCCAGTAAGCTGATGGAAGGAATTACTGAATTTGGACGAGATGATTCAAAGCAGTTCTAATTAAAGGATGATCTAGAATACAACACATCTCCAACTCATCGAACATAAAGAAATTAATAACAATATACCGAGTACAACTTAATTAAGTCACTCCTCATAAATAAAACTTTATATATGCAAAATATATAAACAGACCTCAATATCTAAGTGGCTATTAAATTTAACCAAGGTGAGTATGCTGACCAGAAATAATGTTTCCCTGTTAAGTCTGGGCAAGTTCCAAAGCCAGAGAACCAGTCTTCAATGAAAAGGAAATGTCCCACTTCTGATTTAATCCTTCCTTCCAATACTCTATGAACAGACCTGCTATATCTCAATTACCCTTTTAGCAAGGTTTTCAGATTCATTCTTTGACAAGCCGACTTCGAAACCACTGAAAACAAACACATGACTCTTTCCAAACACTAATTCCGTAATTCACTTGTGATTTTAATTCTTGCCAATCAGATTTGGAGATTCCAAAGGGAGAAGGGGAGGACGAAGGGAAGAAAAGGGAAGAGAAGGACGAAGGGAAGAAAAACGGATTCATTTAAGAATTTAAATTATTGAATCTTTTTTATTACTTGACCTACCATTAAGACAATCTATAACAAAAAGAATAGAGTATATTAGCACACACAGTATAATCAGACTAGTAACCAGGAAACAATACAAAATGGTCCTTTGGCCATCTATACTTTCTAGAGCAATAGATCTGAGAAATTCACTTACCAAGTCCAGAAATGATGACTTCTAAAGTCTTGATTATCAACTAAGACAAACTATGCCATCGTGATATCTCACATATACTCAGATTGCACAAAGATAAAGCTTTAAATGTGTTAATTTTTAAATTTAGACTTACAATTTCTTAGATTAAAAACTACAAAAGGGAGTAAACAGCAAGCCAAATTATTTAAGAGCAAAATTCATTTAGGAAGCATTATATGTGAACATGATTATTATATACAGATATGAAACTGCAATTTATGGCATTCTAAATAATTCACTGAAGTACAGTTTTGGCATTTAAACAAAGATCAAATCAAGCTTTACGCTAATAAGAATGTAATTTTTATTTTTAATTTTTTAAATATAAAAGGTAGCTAAACACAACATATAGATCAGAAACCCTCACTTAATACAGATTTTGAAACATAAAAAATTTGTAATAAGATGGCTTTCTATCCCACACTAAAAGGTAAATAAAACCTCTTTCCCAGATTTATACTCCAAACTTAGTAACAACCTAAAAACTGCTCAAATCTATCAAAAAAATCTACCATGACCAATTTGCCTTTTAAATGGCCTGGGAAAGGGCAGGAGAAAGGATTAGTAATCAGAGCCAGTTGCTACAAATGGAAAAATGCTTGCAGTCACTCCCAAGTATAACCCTACATTACATATAAATCACGATG